CGGCCCCCGTGCTGCCGCTGGGTTACCGTCTGCCCTCTGGTAGTGAAACGTCACAATGGTAGAGGCTAGCCTGAGCAAGTGCAGTTGAAAACGGAGGCCGGCAGCCACACAATTTCTGCATGCTCCTCTGTGAGATTATGCGCGTGACGGCGAAGGCCGGAGGCACCAGCTGAGACTGAATCCCATTATACTGCCCACTGAACACTGATGGGGAGATGAGCTGAGCCCCGAAGAGCTCGAAGCACACAGAAACAGAGCCAGGAAGGAAGCCACTTCAAGTGCAGTTGAAAACGGAGGCCGGCAGCCACACAATTTCTGCATGCTCCTCTGTGAGATTATGCGCGTGACGGCGAAGGCCGGAGGCACCAGCTGAGACTGAATCCCATTATACTGCCCACTGAACACTGATGGGGAGATGAGCTGAGCCCCGAAGAGCTCGAAGCACACAGAAACAGAGCCAGGAAGGAAGCCACTTGCCCAACGTGAAAAAGCCAGGATTAGAACTCATGTCCCAGTCCAGATCGCTACCCACTGGAGCACACTGCATCTCTTCTGAGATGACCTACACCTAGCTCCCACAGCCCTGGGGTACAGGGGCAGCATGCGAGGGGAGGAAGCACGTCACTCCTTCTGGAAACTCTTACCAAAGAAAGTACTGTTGGCTGACTCCCCATCCTCATGCTTCTGCTGATCCCGCAGCTGCTGAGGCTCCTGGCACACGTAGATGGTCAGCCTGGGCCGCACCATCCTGCGGGAGGGAGGGAGGGAAGGCAGGACAGGTGAGCACCACTGAGTTTATCATGAGCACTTTTCCTCAAACTCAGGTCCCATGCGCCAGTTTTCAGGCTTCTCCATGCAGAAAGCCAGACACCCAGACCAGCCTTCAAGCAGAATTCCGAGGGAGATCTCGGCAAGTTTTCTTGCATGGAGACAACATGAAAATAAGCAGAGGGGCAGGTGCCGGGAAGGAATCAGGAGGCGTTTAGCCGTGGGGCCAATTGCGGGCCAGGACAACTGCCCTTCTAAGTGGGATGAATAGCAGCTGGGAGTGGACAGGCTGGGGGTTAAGCCAGGGAGACCCGAGGCTGCGGCAAGAGCAATGGAGAACACTGGCATAAGTAGCAGATGAAGCTGGCCATGTTCCTAGGTGCTGCATTTTCTGAATCGAGCCAGCTACGAGAGGTCTAAAGTCTCCTCCCCACGCCCGTGCAAAGCCCGACAAGGCTGGAATGCTCTCTCAACAGCCATCGAGATTGGTCCATTAATTCTCTGGAATGCTCACGCCAACACTTGCCTTACACCTTATTGGAAATCCACCCTCTCCCCCCACACACACATTAGTAACCCAGCATCAGGAGCTCCATGTCCCTCTGCTTGGCCGCAATGCCTGCACCATTGCTGACCCTCCCTGACACTCCCTCTCAGGGATGGCAAGCTAGTCCCATGGAGAGGCATGGAAAGCTCCCTAACAGAGAAACATGCCCACTAGAGACGTTTCTTCCGACCCCCTGCCACCTGAGGCCAGATTTTGCAACTGTCCCGTGCCCACGATCGGGTCCAGATTTTCAAGAGAGCTCAGGAACCGCAACAGAAGTCTGGATGCTCAGAATTGCTCAGCACCCAAATGCGCAGAGTCCTTGAGAAACCTGGATCTCCCTGGCTGGGATTCCAGCCTGACAACACAGAATGTCCCTGATGGATGGTCTCCACTATCCGCTTGTGTCTATGCAGCTTGTGTCGTTCAATCCGTTTCCTCGACTTGAGCGTCAGCATGGACACTCTCCTGCCGACACAGAAAGCATCTGCTCTAGCTTCTCTACCCCAGATGTTTTACCTGCCTTGCATCCCCCTCGCCGTCCTCTCTCAACAAAACTCAACTTTTCCCCAGGTGGAAGCGGGCCTGCTAATCATTTTTGCTCCGTCTTTGGCTCCCTTCTACTTTTGTTCTATCCACGGCAGACAGCTCAGTGCTATCCCAAAACGGAGGCAAAGAACTCCTCAATTCCTCGAGAACACTGTTTTCCTCCCTACGCCTTTCCTCCCCACTCATCCAGATGACCTACCAATTTTCTCGCAGGCTCCCTCCCTCCACCACAAGAGAGGCGCAAGTGCCTAGATCTGAATCCTGGACCTTCTAGCTCCAAAGAGTCTCAGCAACTTCTCTCTGGCTTTCACCTGTACAGGCTTTGCTTTTTCTGAACTGGATCCCCACCCTCCAGGCCAGCTCTTGAAGGAGGATTTTGCACCTAACTGTGCTCGGCTTATCAACAAATCCCTGGCTTTTTCCTCAAGGTTTTGGAATGAAAGTAGCCAAGATATTTCTACCCGGTCACGCCGCAGAAGTCCTCCTTGGTCTAGGGTTTACTGAAGCACTGGGCATGATGACAGCAATGCACGGAGAAGTCAGAGGCCTGGTCTACAGGGATGCAATGAGGTGGGCTTTGTGAGCCTGTAGCTCTGATGGCAAAAGCCCTAATGCAGACGTGGCTGTATTGGTAAGAAAGTCCTTTCGCTGGGAGAAACTGTATCTCCACTAGGTCTGTTAAATTTGGTTCCATAGGTAACCGTGTCACTGCTGAAAATCTCAGTGGTTACACACATACGGCAGGCTCTGCCGTATAAACTCTGCAGTGAAGCCCCACCCCAGCAGTGGAGTGGGTTGGCTGAATGCAACCAACACCATTAACCAATAAGCATCAGCTCACCAGTTAAACGGTTAGTCGGTTACATTCCAACATTCCTAATCTCCACCCTCGGTGGAGCCCCACTAGAACTATCCCAGCCACCGTTTCTAAGGCAGGCCATGCCCAAAACGTGCAAGAGTTATAGGGAAGCAGCGATCCCGTGGCCACTGCTCTGTGGGGCATAAAAACCAACACCGGCTCCCAGCTTTTACAAGTTACGCACCGTCCCTTTAACGCGTTGAAGAGCCTGATGCCATCTGCGGGGCCACAGATCTGGATAACATCTTCTCTGGTTAGCTTCAGTAAGTCTGCACCTGGAATTGAACACAGCCAGGCGCCCATGGGTCACCAGCGGGGAAGTGCGTGGAGATGGCGGTGAGTTCCGTGCAATGCATCACCGCCGAATCTGCCTCGACGGCCGCAGGATGGACTCCCGAGGGAGCCAACGGGATGGGGAAGAGAGCAGAGAGGGGCTTTCCTCACCAACCTGAGAAGTTTGTGAAGAGCCGGGAGAAAGTGGAGAAACGGTTTCGATGCAGCCACTGCTGGGCTTCCTGAGGCGTCGTCGTCGGCAGGAGGTTCTGCAGCGCGGGAACAAAACTATTACTTTCCTTAGAAGAGGCAACCGAAAGCCAACATTAGCACAGGTCAGCTAGATGACTATTGTTCTACGGTACGAGGCCTGGCCTGGGGTCCTGTACAAACACACAACACGCAGCTTACAATTTCAGGAGCACAGACGGGCGACTACAGACACACTGCGGGGGAGGGAAGGAAGAGGACGCACAAGGAAACAATGAGCTAATGCGGGTCAGCACAATAACGCAGAGGTCACAACAGGCCAGCTGCTCAGTTTTTGGAAGGCATCACCGTACAGGAGAGAGTTCTCACTCTAGATCATCTCTCACCAAGTAGGGGCCATTGAGGAAGAAGTTATGGGCTTAATGTGGAAATTATTTGGTGAGCTTCTTTGGCCCCAAGATGATAATGGCCCCGTCTGGCTTTAAAAAGGCCTATGAAATGTATCCAAGGGAAAACTAGCCAGCCCAGAGACAGAGAACTTGTCTACACGGGGAATTTTTCCGGAATAGCTATTCCTGATTAACATTGCATGTGGGTGTTCTTCTGGAGTCAGAGTGTTTTATTCCGAATTCTCTGAAGTGGATTCAACTCATTTGGAATCGGAGTGTCCACACATTACGTTAACCAGGAAGAGTTAAACCGCTTTAAAGTCATACCCTACCTTATTCCGGATTAACTGTCATGTGTAGACAAGCCCAGAGACCCCATACTGCAGCATACCAGCAAGCTCCTGAACATAGTCACCTAGAAACCCACAAACTTCCAACAGTAAATTTAGAAAATAGGATTAACACCATCCTTACCACAAGCATAAGATTTGAGGTGGGACTTACATCTGTGATCGGAGGAGGTGGCTCGGGTTGGTGGTTTGGAGAGCCATTTCTAGATTTTGAGAGAGAAAAAAAACCCCACACACCATGAGATGGGCATCTGTTCCTCCCCACCTCTCGGTCAGTGCAGCTCAAACGGACGTGTCTAAAATACACTGACAAAAGGCGTCACGGATTCTACACGGATTCCGGACACGCAATGCGTTTGAGAAAGCGCGCTCAGAAATCCGTGGGCACGGGTGGTAACAAACAGCAACCGGACTGTGTCGATGCCATTGGCATGGAAGCGAAACAGCCTGCGGACCAACCAACAGACAGCACTGCGTGAGCAAACACACGTGCTGGGGAAGGCGGGCGACTGGACGCAGGAGCAGCTCCATAAACGCGCGTTCAGTTGCCATTTGAGAGGAGAGGTTAGCGATCAGACTGAACAGCCGCCTAGATCTCCCGTTTGCTGCCGTTAGCGGCTTTTAATAGGACGCCCTGGCTTCCTAGGACATTGGAACCAGCAGTTATTTAGGGTAAGGTCATCAGACGATTCAAATGTTCCCATCCCTCAGGGAAGCTACACGTGGAGGACCGTCAGCCAGAGAGTTCTCGCTGCCCGCACTTACCCCTCACCAATGGTAAAACTGCTGTGGGAGCTGTTAAAGCCAGGAGATGGTGCATTGTTGACGTAAGTGATCTCTGGCCATGGAGAACACTAGAAAGGAAAACCCAGTGGTGAGATGCAAACAACACTGTGACTTTCCTGGGAAACTTTTACACCCTGGTGTCTCTCTGCTTTAGCTGGAAGCTGGTTTCTAGGAAGCAGGCAACGTTGCGATCAACTTGGTTTAGTGCAGACTACGCCCATTTTCTGCAAAAGGTTTGTCTAGAGAGCAGTCCAGAACCAAGCCTGTTCACTGTTGCGTTACTGACGGGGGAAGTACTGACCCTGGGAAGCACATTCGATGCCCCCAAAGTGACAATATTCAAACTAGCGAGCTCTTGCATTGGAGTCATATCTCCTAGGCACTGCGTGTGTTTGCTGAACAGTCTCCCCGGTACCAGCTGCTGAGATGCGCACATCAGGCAGTCGGAACCGGGTGCAGAAATTGAGGAGTACCCCAGAATTCACTCTAAACAAATGCTCAACAGAAGCACTTCCCAAGGGATCTACAGTTTAGCATAGAATGAGAGCGCTGCCTCTGGATAGGCCAACCATTTCGCACCCTATCTAGCTATTTATCACACTGTTGCCTGGGTGAGTCCAACAGCCTAAGCAGTTCGTAATGACCCTTCCATTAGTTGGGGAGTGTGTGGAATGACGCTGTCACCCCTAACCAAGCTGATCACCAGTTCCAGTAACGTACTGCACGTCCAAGAAGTCTTACCTCTGTGAGTATTGTGGTCTCATAGGAAGGCTGGTATTTCTCCTTCTCATGAGGCGTTCGCTTCTCCATTTTCTCTCGGTCCGTCTTCTGTTTCCGATCTGCTCCTTTGGGCTGGAAGGCCAACGTTTTGGTTAGATCACAAACGCCTGGCCTCGTGGAGGTGAGCTAGCCAGAGGCAGGAAGAGAGCTAGATTCACACTGGCTACACAGAGCCAGAAGGAAACTGGAACAGAAGAGAAAAGCTGACAGAGTGCAGGGGACCCTTTCTAGTTCCTGAGTTGGGACAGACTGCCAATGGCGCTGTAGGGGACGGGCGCTGGGCTGCTACGGGCAGAGCATTTGGGCGTGCCTACACTGCACCGTGATTTTGAGATAATGTGAGCGTCTACACAGCAATTCCGTCATTTGGAAAGAACATCGAACTAACGGACGGCTTATTCCAACTTCTGTAAACCTCATGCCACGAGGAATAACGCCTCTTCCAAAATAGCTATTTCGAAATAGGGCGTGTGTGGTGGCTCCACTGCTGCTACTTCAAAATAGCTCCTCACCAGGCCGTTCTAAGTAATTTCTCCCCAGTGCTTCCTCGGGCTTTAAATCAAGGTAGCGTGTCCACACTAGGGAAGCCTGCTTCGGACTCGTTTTGAGGCTTCCCTGCAGCATAGATGTTCTATTTCGAAATAAGCTATTTCGGTATAACTATTCCGGAATAGCTTGTTTCAAACTTGATGTGCCGTGTAGACAGCCTCAGAGACTAGTTTTCATAGTGCTAGATGTGTTCTCCCTACCCCGATCCACCCGCCCCCTAAGGGAGTTCAGAACATCTGAACTAGAACATGAAAAATCGCTCGGAAAGGAATTAGACAAGGACCAAGGTGCAGTACTGGCCCCATGAGCTCTATAAAGGGGTGGCGGGGGCTGCAGATTTATTCTGGGTTAAGTCTGCTGCAGTAAAACCAACCAATACGGTGAGAGGCAGGAAAATCTAGTGCAGAGCTGGGCAAGAATATTTATGCGGGGGGGAGGGGCACACTCCAAGAAATTGGTAAGTGGTCAAGGGCCGCACTCATCTAGGATATTAATGGAGCAGGTGCAGGGTCAGGGATGGAGGCTGGATGCAGAAAGGAGCTTAAGGTAGCGGAACTGGGGTGCAGAAGAGGCTGTGGGGTTTGGGTGGAGGGAGTTGGGCCAGGGGATCGGGGTCCAGGAGGGGGTCTGGGTGCAGGAGAGGATTCCGACCTGAAGGAGGGGATGCAGGGTCTGGGAGGAGGTTGGGACCTGGGGCAGAGTGCAGGGGTTTGGGTTGTGACCTAAGGTAGGAGGAGGTTCCTGGGGCAGGGTTGGGGTGCGGAAGAGGGTGGAGTGCCAGGAGCAGGTTCGGGCCCGGGGGTGGGGGGCGGGGGGCGGCATGGACTTACATTTGGCACCTTCTGGCCAGCAATCCAGTGGGACCCTCAGGCAGGCTTCCTGCCTGCCATGCCCCTGCAGACCACTCAAAGTGGCCAGTGGCGGGAGTCATGTGCCCTCTGGGTGCTGCGAGACTGTGCTGGGGCAGGAGCAGCGTGCAAAGCCCCCCTCCCAGCCATGCCCCTGCATGCCGCTCTACGTGTCCAGCTGTGGGAGTCACGTGCTCATGAGGGGAGGGTGGGGAACGGGATAGCGGCTTCATGTGCTGCTCCTGTCTCGCAGCACGTGGCCCCTGCAGCCAGCTGCTTTGAGTGGCATGCCGGGATGTGTAAGGCAGGGAAGCCTGCCCGAGGCGCCCACTGGGCCGTGGGCAGGCCAGATCTGGCGGTGGACTGTATTTTACCCACCCCAGTCTAAGGGATAAAGCCCTGGATGACGAATCAGGACACCTGGGTTCTATTCCGAGCTCTGACACTGGGCAAATCCCTTCACTACCCTATACCTCAGTTTTCCCCATCTGTAAAATGGGACAATGACTCTGCCCACCTTTGTAAAGTGCTCCAAGACCCGATGAAAAGCGCTAAATAAGAGCTCTGTATTCCTACCTGCAACTTAGGGCTTAAGCAATTGCTTTAGGAGACTAGTTAGATTCCCTGCTCCCCCTTCTCTCTCTCTCATCTATGGAGAGATTTAAAGCGAGACTTGCAATTCTTTGGGGGAGTAATTCTCAAATGACTCCTTGGCTGAGACTAGCTAACAATGGCCAGGGAAGGGAGATGAACCGAGTTCTGCATGCCAACAGCCCAAGTACTTTCCCAACACTTGGGTATTGCGTAAGGGCTGCTGGTCTGAGCACAGTATCAGCAGTGAATTCAATGGGTCACCCAGTTCTTTTGGCTACACTGCTCTTCACAACAAGATTTCACAGTGTTTCAGTTCCCCCTTTTCCCAGATTTGCTTCCCCCTCCAAGCAACTCGTTTAACCGCCCCTCCCGCATGTTGTGAAATGCTCTGCCGCCAACTCCTGTAGATTGCCATCAGGGTAACCAGGTGAGCGGCACGCACGCCCGTGCACACCCACGGCCCAGACAGTGGAAGCTGTTAGACCACATAGCTCAAGCGGTCTGAACGACGGCTGGAATTCCTTCTGCATTGGGAGGTGTTTTCGCCCGCTTCTCGCAGGCCTGCTTTAGGTCGCAGATATTTGTTCTGGCCCAGCTGCACCAACAGGCTTGCACAGATGTGAAGCCCTGATGTCGATGTGCTCGCTTTCCACGGTTGCAGGTCTTTACAGAAGCCAGCCACGCAGGTGTAAGCCCTGCTGTGTGTCTACACTGAAAAGCACTTCCATGAAGACACTCCTATGCCAATGGGAGCAGGCCAATGCTCAAACCACTGAGCTATCCCTGCCCGGCCCCTTGCTTACAGACAGCGACTGGCGGGCGACACAGCCCCGCTCTGCCCCACTGGCGTCTGTGGCAAGGGTCTCCGCAGAGGTTTGGGGAGACGACACGAATTCCACACGGGGAAGAGCCTGCTAAAAGCCCTCAGAAGCCACTTTCTGAACACAGCCAGGCTTCTGCTCCCAGGCCCACTAACCCTGCGGGTAAGAATGTCCCGAGACTCTCTGGCAGTGACAGCCCGGCACTCCTATCATCTGCGGCCCAAAGAATGCTTGCACTATTGGTGTAGCGGCTGCACCGTGCGAGCAGATCCAGCTGGTACCACGTCATGAGGACCCCTCTCCAGGTTCTCAGCCGCTTGTGGAGTCCCAAAGAGTTTCCTGGGATATCTGTCTCCCAGCAGCTCTCGCGGGGGAAGAGTTATTTAGACTTCAGCATGGGAGCAGCCTCTTCACCCAGCAGCCCAAACAGAGATTGCTGGGAGGAAAAACAGCCGCAGCTTCTCACACAGCCAGCAAGAGGGGGTGTAGGGGCACGAAGATCGGGACTCATTCTGACACGAGCTGGAGAGGCCCTCGGACCGTCCAACCAGCCAATCCTCCTGCAAAGGGTTTATGCCTCTGTGCTGGCATGTACCAACTTGAAGCCTGGCGTGCAGACCTTTGGCTCTTCCTCCGGCTTCCAAGGGAATTTGGAATTATGTGCATCTGCGAGCACGTCTCCCAGGGTTACACACAGAAGCTGCGCCCAATCCCGCTCTTGACAAGAAGCTGGCCCACAGGCCGCCACATACCACACCTCAGGCTGCTCTGGGTTATGTTGCCCTGCAGGATTTGCGCTACAGTAGCCCCCAGGGGAGCCAACAGAAATCCGTGTCTCGTCGTGCGGAGGGTGGTGCTGGAGCACTGCCATGCCTAGGTGTTCAGCACATGCATGCGGTGAAGACGCTCTATGCCAGGGGTCTCACTCACGGCTCGTGGGCCATCTACTGGATGGAGCACATTCCCCATCTCGCTGGGGCGGGGAGGGGGGGCGTGCCTGTCCCCCCAAGCCCCGCCCCTTTCACATCGCCGCCCCGCCCTCTTCCCCTCCTTGCATTCTGTCCTCACAGCCTCCGGGATTACCAGGGGAGCATGGCACAAGGCGGCAGCAGTGATCAGTCCCCACGCTACCCCACAGTGGCAGGAGCCACGGGGAAGTGGAGCACTGCAGTGTGTGTGGGGGTCCGACCGCTGCTGTCGCCCTGCTCCAGTAATCCGAGGCAGTGTCCCTTGGGAAACAGGATGCAATGGGGAGGCAGAGGATGGGCAGTGGCAGCACTTGTGGGCTGGGGATGGGCACGCCCTCATCGCAGGCTGCCAGGACCAGATCGTTACAGGCCGTGAGTCTGAGATCCCTGCGCTAGACCGATGGGTGAGAGCTCTTCGGTCGCCCTCAAAACATCATCTCTGTCAGCAGCAGGAGCGACACACTTCTGAGCTTCTCCCATCAACAGTGCTGCGCGCACATGAATGCTGTTGTGACTTACGCTGCTCGGAGGAACATATACTCTCCCGAGCGACCTGAGTTTTGCTGAGCCAGGCTGTAGTGTAGACAGAGCCTAAAACAGCCCATGCCCTGAGGAACTCACAATCCAAACAGATAAGAGGCAGGAGAAACAAGCACAGAGAGGGGACTTGCAGCAAGTTAGCGGCAGAGGGGCCCATGGGGCAGCGAAGAGTCTCTAAGATGGTGCCGCTTGTCCCAAACACCCCAGGGGTGCCCTAGGCCATCTCGTCCAGACCCAAGCGGTTCTGCTGGCAAGCAGCCTTTCCTCTAGGGCTAGCCCTAGGCTTTGATGCTTTACTGACTCCTCTTACTCAAAAGCTAAGGGCAGATCAGTCCATCACTCCCAGGCTTAGGTTGATATTAAACCTCTGATCCAATTCCTGACCTTGTATTACACTCACGCATTGCACTCGGGCCGGCGCGAACCCACGGGCAGGAGCGGGACTAGATAGAGAGCGCTAAGAGAGCGCAAGCAAAGTCTAGTCAGAGCACAGAGGCTATTCTAGCTTGCGAGTTGTGTTGCCTAGATAAAGGTGTTTAGCAGGTGCTCATTACAACAAGCAAGGAGCAACGTTTGTGGCGCACAAAAGCAAGGCCCTGTCCTGCAATATTTGTGGAGGCGGCCGTCAGGCGGGGTCAGCTCCCCGACGGTTTCACAGGTGAGGCGGAGGGGGACTTGTGTGTCTGGTTCTAGCGCTCAGCAAGCTATGCCCACAGCGCGTACGGTACCTTGAAGACTTTAATCTGGCAGCTGGCAGAATGCAAGTGCTCGGTGTACTCCCCGTTTTCGTTCTCTTTGAAGGTGTCGATCTGCACGCGGAAGGGCACTCCCTTTTCCCCGCCGTGTTTCCTCATGGTGAACTCCGTGCTGATGCAGTGCACCTGAGAAGAGTCACCCAAGAGAGGCCTCATTAGCAGAGCTCCAGCTCTGAGCCACCAGAACATGCCTGGTAAACATTCGAAGCCAAACGTTCCCTCCAAAGCCTCCCGCGCAGCTGCGCGCATGCCCTGCAGGCCTGAGATGGAAATGCATCGGACAGCAGGAACATTAAGTAGTTAACAAAACGCCGGTGGGGGCGGGTGTGTAAGTAATTCACTTTCTGCCTACAGATTCCCCAGCCTATTATGGGTTACAGATGATCCCCGGAGATCACTGGAACGGAAAGCAGCTAGCAAATCCCACCCCCACATTTTCCAGTTTATGTCTTCTAGGCCCAAAGGGCCAGGTTCACAAAGCTCTCAGGACGCAGAGGGATTTTCAAAGCAAGTTAGGCACTCCGGTCCTATTGATTTCAATCGGAATTAGAAAGCTCACCTGCTTTTGAAAATCCTGCTGGATACCTAAATGCCCTTGACAATCTGAGCCAAATGCACAAGTAGCTTCACTGGTTTATAGCTCAGAGGCACTTCCTATTTCATGGCATTCTTGGGCACGCCCTTCCCCAGCCCCTCAAACACAGCTGGCTACTACGCATGGACCCAGGAAAAAGCCCCGTTTCCTACAGCAGCTTCGCCTTTGCCCTGGGCTGCTGCAAAAGACTAAGCAGCAGCAGGAGCCGGGTGTTCCCCACAGCGCCTCTCTTACCTGGATGAACACGGACGTCCTCTTCGAAGGATCCCAAAGAAACTCCACCGTGTTCAGTTGCGTGGGATTTGCCCTGGGGTCAATGATCCCCACCGACATCGGGATATCTGCGGAAGCAGAGCGCACGCTCAGAGAGCAAGCACGAGGCGGGACCTGTGCCTGGCCCTCCGGAGGTACCGAGCTATTCCACTGCCACGGCAGGAGCCAGAGCGGAGGGAATGCCATGGAAGCTGTCCTGTGTGCAAGGAATCAAGAGACTGAGCAGCCTGGCTGGAGATGAGGGACGTAAAATCCCATTTAAATGTGATGTTTAACCGATGGGGGGGAGCCGAAGTGCCTCCCCCCACAACAGCAGGGGCTGCTCCGGCTCAGACAGAGCAGCTCCTGCCTGCGATACTCCCAGGCTCACTGTGGACAAGGGCCGGGTGCCCGTGGCAGGCCCGCCCTGCCCCCGCCACCCCCCTGCCTGCAGCAGGCCTGGAGCTGCTCCAGCCCCCATTGCTTAACCCTCCTGGAGAGCCACCTAGTTTAGGCAGATGCTGTGCAAGCTTCCCCGTTCCCAGCCCTGACAATGCACCTCGGACCCAGCCTGCAACACAGCGGTGGCAAGGGAGGCAGAGACACCCGCTAGGCAAACGTGTATACTACAGAGGTGTGAAGGCAGCTGACATACAACAAGGGAGACTGACTGCTCTTAAGCCATGTCCTGTCTGCACTGATGCACTAGTGTTTTCTTCCTTAAGGGCTAAGGGTGGGGGAGGACATGTTCAAAACAGAACAGCTGGGGCTAAATGCAGGAATTTACCCTCTCTCAAGTTTCCTTAAGGGCTAAGGGTGGGGGAGGTCATGTTCAAAACAGAACAGCCGGTGCTAAATGCAGGAATTTACCCTCTCTCAAGAGCAAAGCAGCATCATTCCCTCTTCCTGCCTAAACAACAAATCTTGGGTTACTTAGCACAGGGGTTCTCAACTCCTTGCTTCCTGAGCCCCCACGCCCCACCATGCTGGGAAAACCCCACCACCCACCTGTAGCGAAATAATGGTTTTTCTGCATGTGAAAGCCAGAGCTGGGGTTAGGGAGTAACAAGCAGGCCAATTGCCTAGGGCCCCCTGCCACAGGGCCCCCCACAAAGCTACATTGCTCAGGCTTTGGCTTCAGCCTCATATAGCGGGGCTCAGGGCCCTGGACTTCAGTCCCATGCAACAGGCCTTTGGCTTTCTGCCCTGGGTCCCTGCAAGTCCGACACTGACCAGGAAACCTGCTCGCTGCCCCCCCCCAGGAGCCTCTGCTTGAGAACCCTTTCTGTGCTCTCCGGGAACTGCACCACAACAGCCACATTTGTTCTTCGTGCCCTCTCCCGGCTGCTGCAGGCACTCACCTATATCCAAGATCCTGTCCCCAGGCCTGTTCCACCTCCAGCCCTCGAGCTGCTGGTGCTCCGTGTACTGCAGCCGCCGGTCGTGAAACACCACTCGAAATATACTCTAGAGGGAACAGACAGTCGCCCTGTGTGCGGTCCCACAACAATCACTAAGTGGCTCAATATCCCGCAGGCAGCGGGGTTTCCCTGCATCACCAGCCCAGGGAGAGAGAATGGGTGCGGCGTAGAGCCAGACGCAGACGCCGAAGGAGCAAAATAAAGAGTTCTCTAGGCCCGTGAAGTGAGGGACAAGCCCCAAGGCAGCATTTCCTCTTCTCCCCGTGCTTCCCTAGCAGGGCACTCATGGGAAGTGGTTCAAGGATTTCTTTATTTACCTCTCCTCCCACACACTCCACACTAGGATACTCTAGCTCTGGGGGATTCACCATGACATGACATGAAGCAGTAGGTGGGGGGAGGACGGGGTACTTTAGTGTAATGCAAAGTTCCCCTCCAAAGAGGGCTGCAACTACCACCACATTCCCTTTCCTTAGCACTCAACCGTCAGACCCGAGCCGGGGCCTGAGATCCTCCAGCACCAAGGAAGCTGTGGAGTCTTAGCTGGTTTGATTTTCCATTAGGCCTTTAGTTCTGGTGGAGCGCTGGGAAGACCAGCACAGCCCACACCTGCTGGGGAGCACCTTGCACAGACCAGTGATACTGAGTGCCTGACGGCACCTATAAAACCCACGCCTAGAAAACCTGGGTATTCCGCTGTGGTGCCCTGGGGGAAGGACTCTAACCATGACGTTCAGTCTCCCTCGCTTACCTTTACCAGCTTCCCGTTTATCTCAGGCAGCTCCCCGATTTTCCTGTTATCCAGCATCCGGATCTCATACGACTGACCTAAGGAAGAGGCCTAACAACTGTTAGCCACACCTGGGTTTTGCTCTTCTCTGGCTTTTCATTTGCCATTAATACAGGAGCGAGGGCAGGGCAAGAAGTGTACATGACGTGCTAACGAGGGAGTGGACGAACACTGGCCCCGGGAGAGGGGCCTGCTGGGATGTTAGCTCCCGTCCTTCCTTGTGAACCAGGGTGGAGCTTTGCAGGAACTGGCCACTAACACGTCCTATATACCTCTGGACACACATACATATGCCAACTAAGGACACAAGAAGAGAGTCATTACCTGGCAGCTTAATTAGACTACCAGAAGCGATCCTGATTTTTCCAAAATCCCACCTATTTAGGGGACTGGAACGTACAGACTCATAGCCTAAGGTCAGACAGGACCATCGTGATCAACTCATCCAGTGGTTCTCAACCTACTTACCATTGCTGGTCGCATCCCATACAAGCTGCATGGCTCTGAGGATGTCACAGGCCCACAGCTTGTGCTGACTGGGCTGCAGGTGGAGAACCACTGTCTGGCCCCCTGAACACTGTAGGCCACAGACCCTCACCCTCTCCTCCAAGAGAGCACCCACGCTGATAAAAGGCCTAGTGTACGTCCAATCTCATGCTTGCTCTCACCTCCTTCCTCTTGCAGCCATTCACAAGACCATGGGCTGGAAGCACTGACTGAGCAAAAACCTTAAGGAGAAAGGGGTATGCTTCTGATTCACTACGTAAGATGAGGAGACGCACTTGTACAATCTGCTGCAGACTACGAGGACTGTGCAGGTCGTTGCGTACCAGTTGCTAGAGACCCGGAACAGTCCTACGCTAGCCTCAATCTAAGAGCCACAAAGGTTAGCAGCAGATTTTCTGCCAATTAAGCTCAATTTTCCTTAAGATGTTTTTGTTCTGGTGGAAATGTGGGGAAAACCAGCTAAGCCCATACCTCTTGGGGGTAGAGAGAAGTGAGGTGAAAAGGCAGGGAGCCTCGAAGCAGCCTGGGTTTTGGTACAAAGAGAGTTTACATTTGGAGGGTGAAAGTTTTTTGGAGTATTTTATGAAAGCCAGACCCTTAATAAATTAGTATCTATGATGACGCAAGGAGTCGATTTCCACCTGCCCTCCAGCAGGGCAGAAAAGCCTCACCTTGATTGAGGTAAGTGAGTGTTTCGTCATGAAGCTTCACAGCAGGGGACGTGGCCGCACACAGAACGTATTGAAAAGGCAGGATCTTGTTTTCATTGTCAGGAGGCAAACTTGATTCTTCCTGTTTGAATATGGGCAGGGCTAGAACATCACTGCAACAGAGATTTGTCAGTCAGGTGTGTTTCGGCTCCGGCTGCACAGAGAGGTCACTTGGATAGGTCATTCTTCATGCCCCTCCCCTCCGTTTAACGCCCATCGTCAGGCTGTACAAAAAGGGCACAGAGCAAGCAATGCTGAACAGCACCCAAAGAGAGATTCTTGCAAGATTTTTTTTTTAATTATTATTTCTGCTCTTCTAAAACACAATCATTTCCTGCTTCAAACATGATCAGTTTGCAGCTTAAGTGCAGAGACATTTCCTTTAACAGCAGGCCTATTTCACCACCCTTATGCTACGGATGTAAGTGACTAATTGACTAGTCGACTATCGGATAAGCAAAAACTTATCAGACAGTCGACACACTAGTCGACTAGTTGTCTCCCCCCCACACACACACACTTGTTGCTTCTATCACAAAGAGGCGGGGGAGGGAGAAGAGGGGATGCTGGAGGGAGCTGGCTTAAAAGCTGGTTCCCCCCTGCTCCGTGGGAGGGGGTAGGGGTGCAGCGGTGGCCAACTTTGAAAAGTACAAGAATCCCTGCTGGGGAGTACCCAGCTGACCCCAGGCTCCATGCAGCACAAGACCCCTGCTGGGGCTCTTGTACATTTCAAAGGCGGAATGTGGAAGTCCTTATTGACTAATCGAATAGTCGATGGAAATCCCACTGCCTAGTCGATTAGTTAATTCATTGAAATTTAACATCCCTACTTTATGCCTCACCGCACGCAACCAGTGTTGGGGTGCACAGTCTCCAAACCGAGAGGATGGGTAAGTGAACAAAGACATCAGTGTCATACTGCAAAGTGGCCACCTGCCCCCTTGATCCTCAGGAGCCAGAGGTAACCACCCCATGGCCACAACATCCATCCCCATATAGCTCTCCTCTGCCCAAACTGGATCTCCAGTGGCACCAGCTTCCAGCCACTGATGTGTTGTACAAGAGCTCGTACCACCAAGCTAACTGGGTAACAATGAGTTGCATGAGCTTTGAAGTAGGGGTGGAAAATCCCATTTTAAAAGTGAACAGGTTAAATAATGTGATTAACAGGTTACCCAGGATCCTGGGGCGGGAACTGCTCTGGGCGGGCCAGGCAGGGTCCACCACACCGCACTTTAGGCAGGGGCTGATCTGGATGCACTGTGTCACTGATTAACTGGTTACCCTGGTAAGCATGTTGGTTAGGCGAATGCTTACCGGGTAACTCTTTATATTCCTACTTTGAAGGAGCAAATCGCTGGTAATGCTTCAGCATGCTCCTCCTAAAAAGGTTACCTTGTCCTGACTTCTGTTTAAAACAATAATTATGTATATACATATATGCATATATCAGGATGGATTGATTTAAATCACCGATTCCAGTCATGATTCAAAAATCGTGACTCAGGAAACCTTGATTTAAAATCTATTTTACTCTTGTTTAGCATTTGTACTAACCAGGAGAATAACACTACCTATACCCATTTATTAAGCACCTACCTCACTTAATATACACTATACAAATGTAAAAAATTCAAAATTTGAATAAAGGTTAGAAAACTGTGAATGTTGCAGGGTTTTTTTTTTTTTAAACCAGATTTTTTTTTCCCCACTTGTGATCTGTGTCTAACTGCATTTGGATTGAAAGCAAATTTTTTCTTGGAGCATTAATAATTCATTTCTAAAACTTGTTTTTATTAAATAAAATAATTGTATTGCTTATTCAGCACATTTAAAAGTTTTTATCTAAACATGCTTTGTATTTAAAACTAATTGATTTATTAAACAGAAGCCGCCAGTGGACTGAATTGTGGTCACCATTTACTTTGAGAGCTTAAAACTAGAAGATCTCATCCTTTCACTCTTCTTTTCATACATACGATTGGAAACGGGAAACAAACTTTCCTGATTTTTCAACTCCCATTCACGCCAGGTTTACACTGTGAAAAAGTCAACCTAAAATACGCAACTCCAGCTATGAAAATAGCGTAGCTGGAGCCAATGTATCTTAAGTCAAATTACTGTGGCATGCCCACTGTGGGAGTTTGACAGCAGAAATTCTCCCATTGACCTCCCTTACAACCTCATGGATTACCATCAGCAGTCGACTTAACAGGTCCTTATTAGACCCACTAAATCAAACCCTGGAAGACTGATCTTCAGAGCATTGATCTTGCCATAAGTATAGACCTGGCCTCAGTGTCTCAATGGAGTGGAAACTAATCACTGACCTGAACTAGCAATGAAGTGAAGAAAACACTTTCTCTACACCTGCAGAAGGGGCCACTGCTGCTTAAAAAGATGTGTTTCTCAACCAGTTGTACAAGTACCCTTAGGGGTACTCAAGAGAAGTCTGGGGGGGTACGTCAGCACAACTGAAATTTGGAGAAAACTGAATTTTGATTTTAAGTTTTACAGCATTTTATTATTTTTGTACTTTTTATACCCAAAAATTTCATTGCCCGCCTGGCTACGATTAAGTTGTTTAAACAAATGTGTTGCAATGGTAGAAAAAAATTGTGTGTGTCTGAAAACTGAGAGTACTGGGTTTCTTATAATTTTTTTTTAACAGGGGTACTTTATTTAAAAAAAAGGTAGAGAAACACTAGTTTAACACTAAACTGTCACCAGTTCCAAGAAGCATATAGATTACAGTAGCTTTAGGCTTGAATTCAGATTGACAATTTCAATTTTAAATAGGCTTACTTTTACAAAGAAAAAAGTGTATTTAAATTAAAAAAACATTTTTAATATCTGATTTTTACTTATCTTGATTTTTTTTCTTTAAAAAAATACCGATGCATGCAAAAGGCACATCCTATAGCAAACCATAATCTTCAGGGAATTTATCTATATCATAGTTTCGGCATAAACGTTGCCCTTCCATGAACTCAAGAAGTTAGATCACGTCTGGTTTCTACATTCGGCTCTATGCATACAGATAGTGGTCTTCATTTGACTGACTGAGGACTGAAGTCATCTGTCATGTCGCATCACGTTTTTCCAAGGAAGAATGTGCAGACAGGTCATAAGAGAGCTATCTTTGGTCATAACCTTCTCCCCACGGACACCTGCTGCGGGCAGCATTTTTTCCAGAGACTAGTCCATTTGCCAGGTAAAGTTGGGGGTGGGAGGAATAGCAGAGGCAGATAATTCACCTTGCCTTTCCCTCAGGGCCCGACTTCTTTTAACCACTTCTCCTCCCTCTCTGCCTAACCTGTTCCTGACTGGCTGAGCTGTGCCAAGTCAATCTCTTCCAAACTCAGAGCCAATACTGCTATGTTCAGAGACCAACCAGCAGCCAATACGAGCTATGGCAGTGGTCTCCAAACTTTTTACACCCAAGATCACTTTTTAAATGACAGACCAAGCCAAGATCTACCGCCCCGCCCCTTCCTTGAAGCCCCGCCCTCTCTATTCTCCTCCTCTCCATCACTTGCTATCCCCAATCCTTATACTGCTAATTTAAAAAAAAAATTCCCAACATTCCTCGCAGCTATTCACCTGTGCTGTTGCTCGGTGAGTAGCTGCTCCTCAAATGAGGAAATCTAATGTAAATGTACTGCGCAGGCGCGCAGTTCAGAGAGGGCTCAAGAGCTACTCTTAGAGCCTCCGAGATCTACCGGTAGATCGCGATCGACTGGTTGGTGACCACGGAGCTATGGTAACAAATACAAGCCCTAGAACGTGCTCCTTGCAGCCACTTAGCACAAAGGCCCCAGTCTGGATCTACTGGGGGAGCACAACACCATAAATGCCGCACAACCAAGTGCCAACCCATCTTTGTCAATGAACCAGATGTCTGAGTCAATAGTACCCAGGGATATAAAATCTTGTTTAACTAGTTAACCGGTTGAACTCATTAATCAGTTGGTTAAGTGATTCAACTGAGGTGGGCAGGGGCTACTCCAGAGCATCGGTTACCAGCCCCGCATTGGGTGATGCTTACTGCGTAACTGGTTACTCGTTCACATCTCTAGCAGACGTATCATCAGTTAGGGGGGAAAATAAGCCCGTACCCTAACGCAAGGAGCACTACACCACCCAGGCTTTAAGCTCTTCTAAAAAACGCCCCCGATCTGACGTGGCTAAAAATCACTCAGACTTCATCAGCTGTCAGCAGCACTGACTGGAGGGACACCAGAGACCAGAGACCAGCGTTCAGGATCCGACAGTGCTCTGCCTGAGAAGCCTGACAGTTCTTCACTAGCACGTGACGGCTACGGACATGCACACAAGCAATCAGGCCTTTGAAGTGGAGAGCATTGACGTGCAGCAAGGAGAGACTGACTGACATTCACTCACTCACTCTTTCTTTCTAAAGACTCTCCTGTTTCAGCCCAGTTCTGCCACTCAATCCGTCTCCCAAACACCAGCTGCCTACCACGCAATACACTGGCACCTCCAGGAACAGCACCTTACGGAGGAGACACGACGACTAAGGTATCAGCTACAAACGGGCCTTGCTGATATGGAGTCATCTACCAGCCAGGCTTCTGTCAAACTATTCTGGCATAATACCAAGTGGGGAATACTCTATTCTAGCAAGAAAAAAAAGTCACTCATTCCAGAATAGCTCTTCCAAAACATTTCCCTGCGTAGGCAGGGCTTAAGAAAAAATGGCCACTATTGTTGTGTGAATATAAACCCGTCACACCTAGCCCTGGATGCGACACGGGAATTTCAATTTGCTAGATTAGCCAAGTAACATGTTTCCCCCTAAGGGGAAGACTGGATGGAATGTGAGGCCCTATTCAGATGAAAATCACCCATACCATTACAAACACCCGGCTAGACAGTTCAGCACACACACTCCCCTGCCCCTCTCGAATACAGACGTTAATACACATGACCAAGGAAAAGCTGAATATTATGTCCATTTCCTGGTTAAGCAAAGTATTTTGGGTAGTAAGATATATCATCTTCAGAGACAAGCTGGGGGAGGAAACATTTTGTGGCATAAAAATTAGGGATTTGAAAGCGTAACCGTGTACAGGGTTAACCAATGAGCCTGGGCTCCCAGTCCAC